GGCTTGCATCGTTGTTTTATTAAAAACACATAAATCCTAAATACAACTCCTACTTCGATCCTATTCTAGTTACAGATGCTAAGATAATTGTAGCTACTCTGGCTTGAATGAGCAGCAGCAACTAGCAGCATGTTACAACAATCCATGGCGAGGACCCGTTTGAGTGGTTCAGGACTCGCAGTGACGCACACTCTTCAGCAGAACAAGCGTACAACAATCTCAAGATGGCAATCCTCAAAACACAACAACAACAAGGTGCACTACCAGAGTTCCCAGGTCTGTTTTTCTGTCCCCCCCCTCAATTTTAAAGCCAAATGCCCTGAATTATGTCCCGCTTCTTGGCATACATTTCATTTTTGCAGCAGTTTGATTGACTCGCTTGGGCCTTTGAGACTTTTTCTTGTGCTTCGAGCATGGATTTTGTTTGGCCGCCTGTCTCTTCGAAATGCGGAGCTGTCTGTAGCGAAAAGATGTGAATCAAATGTGCTCACGCATTTGTGAAATGACACCCTGGGCACTTGTCTAGCTTGTTCAAAACTACTCCCCCATGATTAGCGGATTGCGGATTATGCTTCATGGCCGTGATGGATCTTTTCCACAGGGGCCATATCAATCTTACCTTCAAGACTCACAAACTCTAGCTGAATCAACGAGCAAACCCAGTTCAAAAATCAGTTGCGTCCCAGATAGACCCGTTTTGCACACGGTGAAATGCCTTGATCCATGAATCGCTTTTAAACGCCCAACCATTTTGGCCAGCGGGCCGGGACCCCTGAAGCGCAGGCCTTCTTTGCCGCTTTGGGGACGTGGTCAAAACCGTTTTGGTACCATTTTGGGGTAGGTGAATTCACCACCCATTTGAGTCTATTTAGTGGGGATTGGGATGTTCACTGGGGGTACTGGATTTTTACCCATGGCCACATGGGGGTCAATTGTGTGGGCTATGGCGCTGGGGATGTCTCCTCGGAGAGTGCCTGCCTCTCTGATAGCGCGTCCAAAAATGCCTTACTTCCCATGTGTGTTTCAGAACATGTGTTTTATTTCCCTGTTGGTTTAAAGGAAATCAATTTCGCTACTGGAAATATTTATATATTTTTCCAGGGGGCTTAAGCAAGTGGATTAGGAAGGCCGCCGAATTCCTTGTGGTTTTGGATGAATAAACCTGTCGGATTAATATGGGGGTGTGAACCCCAATAGTGCAGGATCCCCTCAAACTGGCAGCCGCCTATGCATCACCCTGGTACGGATTGATCCTCGGTCACCCAATCCACAGCTCGAGGACATCGTGCAATTCATGAGCAGGGTGTTCTACTCCCAAGAGGGCAGACACTTAGCTGCAAGCCCAACTGTGGGTCAAGTATGGCCTTTCTTAGGCGGGCGAACAATGTAGTCAGTATTCAAGCATGGCTTAATTGGATCCTCGTACCTTTGGTAACCCCTGTTCAACATGTGGAATCAAATCACAGCAATCGAGAGCTCTGAAACGGGTAAGGTCCTGTGATTACTGTTGCATTTCTTTTGAGCAGAAATCACCCACCGGTTTGCGGTTGGTTTGCCTGCAATGCGTAGGGACTCCCATGCCTTCTGAAAGACCACAAAAATGTTCGAATCCCATGGCCGGGAGTTTGTTTTGGCTGGGATCAAAGTTTGGTGGGAGATATGGCCAAGGGTTGCTCACCATTGGACTGACATCCCCAACGCCCCCCTCTCCGTTTCCTCCAAATGGGTATGGCTCAAGATCAAAGAGCTGCGGTTACGCAGGTTTTAGTTGTTGGTTCCATTTACCAAGGCGCCATTTTGGTACCACTTTTGTTTGAGCCACAGCCAAATTACTGCAAATGAGACTCTGACTTATAGCCTTTGGCCTTTGGAGGGATCCCGAAGGATACATTTGGCCTCTGGGCGGCCTCCTTTGGGAGCAACCTTTGGCGCTGTCGATTGGTGGTTGCGGGATTTGAACCGCTGGGTCTTAGGATAAATGGGAAATACTGTGTATCCCACTTAATCCTCCAAATCAGCAACCCAAGCCACCAACAGAAAAGCTGCTGATATTGCTTCCGACGTGTGTACTTAGGAAGTGAGCAAGGCCTTAAGGGGATCACTGGGAGCGTCCCTACTTGCAGGGGCAAGGTACTAAGTAACAGCTTCTTGCCGTGTTTACAAGTTACGGAACTTGCAACCATTGCAAGAGTGGCTACCCACTTCCTGCTTTCTTGAAGCAAATGAGGGGCACCGGTGTTCTGATTGGGGCTGTTGTTTGTGTTGCGAATTCATGGCATGTTCTGTATTGTGGGGCCCGCCGGAGCCGAGGAAGAAACAATCAGGTGAAGATCCAGGTCATCCGTGTAGGCGATGAAACCCGGTCTTCGGGTTTCTGAAACCGATGTCTTTGGGCTCATTTGCATGGCACAAAGAGTACCCTCTCTCCCACTAACATGGCACCTGACAGGAAATCCCTCCGAGGGAACTGATTCTTCCAGGTGGGTTGTACATGAGGTAAACGAGCCAAATGTCAGGCCGATGTCTATATCCCTCTCTCGCACAAGGGCGTCCCCAAGCGGATTGGTAACCCTTGCACAAAAGGGCATGAACACGGGGAATGGTCCCCGCTAAGGCCTTATTTGAAGGAAGCCAGGGGGAGGCAGTCTTGGGAGGAGGGGGGGTTATATCTAGTGAATCATAGTCGACCTTGTCACAGTCCTGTAGGCGAAGTTGTTATAATTCCCCCCTTTCAGGTATCCCTCAATATGGCAGTGTCTGTTTTTCAGGGTTCCCTTTTTTTCCAACGCCTAAGGTCAATCATCAACACAACTACACAAGCAGTATCTTTCCACCCGCTGCCATGGAACCTAAAGGGAGGCCTTTCTTTCAGGTTTGTTTCTTCTAAGCTGAGAAAACTTCTGTCAAGCTGTAGGTTCTGGTGTGGTGTGTTGGAGGGTGACTCACTTCCTGAGTGGATTGGCCGCAAAAAAGTGACTATGCCGTGGCTCAAGAGGCAGCACCAACCGGAATGTAACCTCCGAAACCTGTGGACACCTTCCAGGGGAGCGTCCAGGAGAGCGGCCATTGTTACGACGCGATTTTTCCGCATGTTCCCCGCTTGGGGAATTTCACCTCAAATGGGTTCGTTGGGTTTCAAGCGTAGCCGGGTCAAAGTCAGAAGCTGTGCCAGGCCAAGAGTCAAGGCGATCCAGTTCCCGCTGGCATGACTAGGAGTTTGCTTGGGTGTTGTGACCATCCCGCTTAGCGATTTCCTCGGGCTGCTGGAAGGAGTGAGCGCCCTTGATTGATGCAAATGACAGCCGCAAATCATCTGAACACTTCAAACCATATTCAACCCCCCTGTTTTATCCTTCCCCTTCCTCTTCCCCCCCAAAAAAATAGCACCGGAGCATTTGACTTCCGGAGTGAGTTCTTTCTTGGAGGAAGCCACTCAATGGCTCAGCCCTTGCCCCTTGAAGTGTCCGCTTGAGATCCTTGAGAATTTGTAGGCTGAGGCAAACACACACCCGGCACCCTGCCTCCCACTAACATGGCACCTGAAAAAGGGTACCCCGAAAAATCAGTCAAGGGGACCCTAAGCAGATTCTTAGCTAAACGAGTTCTGGCTTGCACCAAACAACAAGCACGTGTAGTGTGGGACTCTTTTTTTGTAATCAGCGACATATCATGTGAATGGCATGCTAGAACCCTTTCGTTAGCTACTTCCGGATCCCGGATGCCGCCAAGTTGAAGCTTGCCTTGAGAGGCTCGCTGGTGGGCACATGCTCTGTGGATTGCAGCACGCAGGCTCCCGGATGGCATGTCTTGCTTGGGGCAGGTTCTTAGTGGCCTTATGTGGCCGTCTGACAAAAGGAAACGGCCCAAGCCAAGCGACTCAATCATATATATGGTTGATCTTCCTGGCAACATTGCACGTGTGGGAGTGTCCTGCGTTATTCTCCAAAGTATCCTGTCCCAAGCGGCTGATGGAATGCGAACCTCTGGTGCCCCATTCTTTTTTCAGGGGTCCTTTTCAGAAAATCAACCACCCCCGAGAAAAAAATAGAGGCCAGTGTTCATTGCTGAACATGGGGAACTAACCCGAAGAAACCAGGCGAGCCAACGTCTCGACCGCAGCTGGGCTCAAAGAGGAGCCGAGAACTTAGCACGCATGGCAAAACCTGACGTGAGAGTTGGATCCTCAAGTCAAGAACCTATACATCATGCGTTCTTTCCTGCTGAAGACTTGCCCAGCTTTCAGGGAAGAAACTTCCTGCAGGGATCGATGCCCGGCAACATCGAGCCTCGCCCCAAAGAGTTGGGTTTGCTTCAAACCGCAGCGCCCCAGAGTCTCACTTGCCCAAAGCCAACCTGACCTTTGGGTTTCTCATGTTGCTCCAGTTTCGAGGTCCCCAAGGGTCATCCACTTTTATCTCTTGGTCCCTAAAGGGTAACTGAGTGATTCCCATTCAGCTCCAAGCCAAGAAGCGGGGCGCACGCCCCCAATTTGTTAGTGTCCGTTGCCTCGGGCCGCTTTTTGGTTGCGCCTGGGCTCCTGTGCCCAAGTGAGGCGTCTTGCAACCCCAGGTCTAAATCTCTCGGCCCGGGCCCGAATACTCCCTAAACCCCAACAAGCTTAAAGCTCCCCCACCTAAAAACAGGAGCATCTTTCTCCACCCCTAAAGCTATCAACAAAAAGAAGAGAAAACCATCTTTGTCCACCCTAAACCTGAAAGCAACCACAGAAATCTGCCGCGGTGTCCTCACTGAGCCCCCAATAGTCTGCCAATAGTGCCCTTTGTCTGTTTCTTTTTTGGTTGGGAGGGTTCCCCAAGTCTAACATAGACAAAAAGAAGAAAAACAAGTTGGTACCAACTTATTCTAACCCAAAAGAGTCACAGAAAACCACACAACATGGAACAAAGGTTGAAAGAGAAAAGCCGCATCCCATTCATCCAAAGCAAAGCCCATTCGCCTTGCAGCAGTGGCCCGGAGCCTCATTTTTCGCCCCCGGAGCCATGGCGGACACCATGGATCCCAGTGCCCCCGGGGCCATGCTCCGAATCCTCCGGGCAGCGGAGGCGAGAGATCCTCGCTCGTGGCTTCTCCGCGGTTTCGCGGAGCGCGCGCTTGGGTTGGGCCACATGGGTTGGGCCAAATGAACGTGGTGGCTCAACCGGAGCATTTTGTTTTGATGTTTTTGGGGTTTAGTCCGGTTCAACTTAGCTTTTGTTGGATTGTTTTAGGGTTTAATCCGATTCAACTGGGCTTTTAGGAGTTTTTGTTGGTTGGTTGAGTGGTAGTGTCCGAATTGAAGCCACTAAAAGTTGAAAACTTTTAGTGGGGGATCTCAGGACAGCCCAGTTAAATGGGTGGTTGTGTCCTTTTGGTTTCCCTCCACAAACAAGAAGACAAGGGAAGTACCCAGTCAATCAAGACACTTGTAACCGTTTTTTGGATGTCTTTTCGGGTGGGCCCTCAGTTTTAAGGTCCAAGAGGATCCTAGAGAACCGCAGAGAACCCGCAATTTGAAGGAAAGTCTACATTCAAGTGAGTTTCCTTGTGTTTCCTCTGGATCACACAGATGTTTTCGTGCGGTTGGACCCTTTTTTCTGGTGCCAAATTTCTTCTAAAAGGGATCCAAAAGCGAATATGCGATGTAGCTTCGCCAGACCCCCGACTTGAAAGCACCCAGCTTTGCTCGCCCAAGTTCCTGGACGTTTTAAGCACTTTTTGGAGAAGACCCCTTTAGAGGTAAACAAACAGATTGCACTTTATTGAGCCAATCCACCCAAGTGAGTGACAGTGGTACCCCACATGTTTGTGCCGAGATCAAGGCTTACCAGAATCAAGCTGTAGATTACCTTTACACCAGGGCTTATGCCGGTAGTTCATCATGCCCACCCCTCAACACAGAGCTTTAAACAACTGATGCTGGGGAGGGGCGGATTCAAGACTGGACGCATGGAATTTGGGCCCCCATGGTGCATGTGTTGGCGCCTACAAGCCACTGAGGAACGAAGGTCGAATCAACATAAGCACATCATGATATGCAGCTATTTAGAGCTATTTAGAGCTATAAGGTCTCCACGTAAGTACTTAGCATTTGCCCCCCGCTTTACACATTAAGCGCTATATAGCTCTGCCCCAGCACATTTTGCCACACAAAACCCATTGTATCAGCAAGTACTTTCAGATCCGTGAGCCCCAATTCGGTCCCACTGGGTTCAAGTTTGGGAGAACATGCACACCCACACCCACCACGCACACACGCATTGCACACCTATGCCACCCAGTTGTTTCCTGAGATTCCCAAGGGCCTTGCCAGAACTTGGGAGTTTGACCCTAAGCTGATGGGGCGAGAACACGGCATTTGGATGGTCAAAAGGCGAGAACGCGAGGCAAGACAGAGTGCGGCTGAGGTCGCTGTGGTGTGTAAGGGGAAACGTGAAGATCGAGTCCTGATTGGTTGAAGCCGAGTTTGGATGTGTTGTTCGAAATCGACGCGGCCGTGCGGACGGACTGAGGGACTGACGGACTGCTTGATGTCGCCGTGGGTTGGACTGTTTTGGGCGCTTGGGTTATCCCAACCTTGCTTCCATGTACTTAAGAATATATAAATATATCTTATTTTCCCCTGTTGGTTTTAAAGGAAATCTATCACGACTTGACCTATTTTTTCCCAGGGGTCTTAACAGAATGGAAGCTTGGGAAGTCCAGGCGCGTGTTCCGGGGCAAACATGAGCCTTGCCCAGGTCACTCGGCATCAGAACAAGGTCATCCTGCGGAACGCCTTTGATTGGAGGCGTGCTGAAGGCTTCACTGTTTGCTCGTTTGCGCAGCCCAGCTGTTCACCTCTAAATCTCATGTTGATTAGATTCCGAAACCATTTAACGTGGTCCTTGTCCTGGCCCCAACATGGATTCTACGCTTTTTTGACCTTTTGACTGTTAACCAACAAACGGTCGCGGGTTCGCTTCGGTCCTAGTTGCTGCCTCGCTTCGGTCCTAGTTTTCATCTCGCTTCGGTCCTAGTTTCCTTACTCGCTTCGGTCCTAGTTTCTTCGCCGTTGACTATGGTGTTTGAGAGGCAACATCCTTGTCGACCCCACCCCACCCGGCATGTCTTGTTGTTAGGTGTTTGAGAGGCAACATCCTTGTCGACCCCACCCCGCCCGGCATGTCTTGTCGTTAGGTGTTTGAGAGGCAACATCCTTGTCGACCCCACCCCGCCCGGCATGTCTTGTTGTTAGGTGTTTGAGAGGCAACATCCTTGTCGACCCCACCCCGCCCGGCATGTCTTGTTGTTAGGTGTTTGAGAGGCAACATCCTTGTCGACCCCACCCCGCCCGGCATGTCTTGCTGTTAGGTGTTTGAGAGGCAACATGCTTGTCGACCCCACCCCACCCGGCAGTTCTTGTTGTTAGGTGTTTGAGAGGCAACATCCTTGTCGACCCCACCCCACGCGGCATGTCTTGTTGTTAGGTGTTTGAGAGGCAACACCCTTTGCGTGTGTCCTGTTGTTAGTGCTCAAAAAGCGATCTTCCACTGCGCCTGAAGTGATCCAAAAATTGCGACAGAAGTGATCCGCAAATGCTCAAACTACGACCAAAGTGAGTGGATTTCAGCTGCGACCAAAGTGATCCAAAAACTGCGACCAAAGTGATCCCCCCGCCCCAACAAACACCAAGGCTAGGAACAACGCAATGCCGCAGCTAATGCCCGACGTCCGTATGTACAAGACCAGTTGAAAATAGACGCAAATCACTCGTGAAGGCTCTTTCCTGCAGGGATTCCTCAATTCCAGTGTGAACAATAGGAATTTGCAACGAGTTTCTCGAATCGCCCCTTAAATTACTTGACTGCTGTTGGCTTGGATCTGATCTTTAGACTTTAACTTTTAGGGAAATCAAGGGGCTTTCCACCAATCCCACAAAAGTTAAACTTTCTGCAGAGGGGTCAACAGTATCCAAGATTAGACCTGGTCCTCTAAACCTACAAAAGATGATAGACCTGTTGCTCTTGTGCTTGGGGCGGAGGGAACAACCCAGGAAACCCCCAGAGGAAACATGGTGTGTCATAGGGGACCCCCAGAATACGGGTGTTCCTTTTGGTTTACCTTCAATAGCAACCAAAAGAGGGATCCAACCAATACAAGACTCCGGATATTCCGTACCTTGGATGTTGGGACAAGGCAAGTGATAAGCCACTCGGGGTATAACCCTAATAGCAAGGTTAACCGCATGGGGGACTTATATAGCGGGATATAACCTAGCTGTTACCGTTACAACTTACCAATTCGGGGTTGTCTGTTTATTGCTTGGAACCCTCTTTTGACTTTAAATAGCTAAACCAACTAAGTTGAAGCCCCCGTATGCTGGTCCCCCCTACAGATGACACGCCCAGATTTCCACCGGGTGTGTGGCTTGTGCCCGGAGAAGCACCCCCCCAAGGCAGCTGTTGGACTGGGCCTCCGAGCTGCCTGCGGACTGCCATGCGCTGAATGCCTGCACGGTGCTCCACCGCCTGGCGAGAGGAGTTTTCTCGGCCTGCGAACCCAACCGAGAAACGGCGGACTGGGAAAAAAACTGGTAAAATTGAGGTGCCGATCTTGGACACATGGTGTTTTTTGGTTTGTTGGGTGTGACGTTTTTGGAGGTTTTTGGGTCGTAGATGGGGGTTAGTAAGGGGGCAGTCCCCTTGCCGTAAATGGGTGCGGACATCCGCCTTCTTAGTTCTTGAAGCATGGTTTTTGGGTGTCGACCATGTTAAGACCGATCAGTTTTGATTGTGACTCATGTGGCGATGTGTGTCTGTGTGTTTTCTTGGCGGGTCCGTGTTTTTTTTATTCTTTCCGCGGTCGGTTTTCGGGACCCCAACAGCTGGACGCTTACCCGCAACATGGAACCCACCAAAAAGTTTCTAAAGGAACTCGACTTCTTTGTTGGTGAGCACATGTTTTAGAGCCTGGGCCTTTTTTTGGTTGAGTGATGAGCTTACTGACCTGATTTGTTTTGTCAGACGCAGCGCAATGTTGCTTGTTTGTGTGTGTGTGCGCGCGCGCGTCAAGCTTCGAAGCACGCAAACCAGGGGCAAGCCGCTTTTGATATGGAATATCCAACGTTTTGGTTCTATGATGGTTTTTAGTTCCGACACTTGCCCTAGGCGATGGGGCGGGTTTGGAAAGAAGATAAAGCATCACGTGCAACCACTAGTGTATCGGCGTCGCTTCCGACATTCGCAGATATTTTATGGAAGCGATTGCTGCTTTGGGATGTTGTTGTTGCTTTGGCTGCCTGTGTTATGGGTTGGCGACCAAGTTGACCCTTCGCAATCTTATTTAAAAAAAGGGAAAACAAAACGATTCCTGGATGAAGATGGCCAGCTGTTGTTGTTTACTCTCGCCAGGAGTTGCGCGCGAGGGCCGTGGTCTGTCAGATCGTGCCCGCACGCTGCGCGCCTCAGATTCTCCGAGCTCTGGTTTCCTGCCGACTTTGATTCGTGCCGGGGGCCGATTGCCGTCCCGGTTCTTAAAATTGGAGGCTTCTCTGCAACTGACGGGTTTTGAAGGTACCCCGAAAACACAGTCTGTCTGGATCTGGGGAGGGTACCAGGTCATCTGTTTCCCTGATCGTTTTGCGGGACGGGGTGCACGGCCATACAGGGATTGTCACTTGTCCACCCTATTTATAGCCCCAGGTTGGGACCAGAAACGGATAATTACTTTGTGCCACACAACAATGTATGCCCCACCCAAGGGACACGCTCCTGTTGTTCCAAGCATCGTGGAAGTGGACAAGGAGGTTCCCGTGAGGGAAAAGCAGTTTCCCACGCATTCATGTCAGCTTAAACGTGTAACCTTGGGGTCTCCGACAGGGCATATATCAATGTGGGTGGCTCGTCTCTTTTGAGGGTACCCTTTTCTGGTTGCTTTGGAAAGGGAAACAAAACTAAAAGCTCAAATTGTCGGGTCTTCTTTAAGACACACCCCAGGAAAACGTGGAAACGGGGATCCCCCACGGGTCACCCCGAATTTCATTGGGCTGGTTTTCTAATCGGCAAAGTTCCGCCATACGCTTTTTGTTGTGTTTCTTTTCTGGGGTTGGGCCTAAAGGGAAACCTTCAGGAAACCAAGTGCAAGCATTTTGCCTGGGGAAGCCTTGATAAGGCACTGAATTCTTGGTATGAGGCGGTGAGCCCCCTCTCCCCCAAATCCATGTTCAATCTGGGCATGACACATGTACCGCAATGTTGCTCCCAAACGGACAGACAAACCAGGACAGGTTGACGCCTGCACCCCAACTCCTCTTTCAGAGGCACAGCAAGGCTCCTAGCAGTCTAATTGTCACGAAGAGGCACTAACAATCACCATGAGGTTGTAACCCAGAGGGTCCCTTGGTACCTTCTAAGGAGGTACTGAACGACCCCTTCTTACCCCCCAAAAGCCATCAGGAGGTACCAAGGGACCCTCATGCTTCGGCATTCTCACTTCGGGTTCAGGACGCTCGCCCCTAAAATCGTGATTCCGGACTTCGGCCGTGGCAATCAGCCCAAGGAAGCCTTTCCCACAGACGCACAACACCCACACAGCTCTTGAGCTCACCGGGGTCAATAGTTGTTTTACGTTTCTGGGGGTTCTCAAATTCAGAATATGGAATTGGTTGTTTCCCTTTAACCCACCACCGAACGGGGCTGACTTTGATCATGGTAAAATAATGAAGACAGGTTCATGAGTCTTAACGTGCCTGTTGGCTTGGGGTCCACTCCAAGCAGCCTACTCCAAGCAGCCCACTCCAAGCGCAGCCCGACCTGATGTTCGGATCTGTTTTAGCGGCTATTGCTATCCCCCGGCCCTCGGAGAAATTGAGCTGGGGATGTGTGCGATGATTCGGCCTGTCTGTACTTTTGGGCGTCCGCATGGTTCATGGGACACTGCAAACCCCATTTACCCAAGTGGCAGGCTAAAAGGACACACCTCCAGTTGCAAGTTTTGACCCCCCCCCTGATTTGAACAAAAACACGGTCAACCTGATGATCGGTCCAACCACCCCCCCCCCCCCAAAAAAAAAAAAAGAAAAAAAGAAGAGAAAACAAAAAGCACACAGCAGCGAACACACGAAAGAACAGTCAAGCTGAAGACCCCACTATTAACCGCTTGAGCGGTTGGTGGTCATCCCGAGTTTCAAGCACAGGCAGTTCCGGCACGTGGCGCCGGCTGATGGAAATCCTCCTCCACCGAGCGATCTCCTCAGGAGATATCGGTGTGGCACAAAAATTAAAGACCTAGCTAGGTCCCCCAGCTAAGTGCCCTTTTACATTGTTTTTTTTGGGGGAGGGTTCCCCACTAAAATCGACTACGGAAGAAAGGGTACCCTTATTCTAACCTCTCTACTGGAGGACCTAGCTAGGGTTACGCAGGTTTTAGTGTTAGTTTCCATTTAGCAAGGTGCCATTGTTGTACGTTTTTGTGAGCCGCAGCCATATGGGGCCTTCGAGGTTTTTGGGGATGCCGCCCTCCAAATTCCCTCTTTTTTTTGGGAGGTGGCTGGGAAACCACACATGAATCAGGAGAAACCTGGGGAAACAAACCAACTTTCCCGGAACCCAAAAGTATTGAAATGGGTTTCTAACCCGTTTCCCTTTTTGGAACCTCCGTTGAGATCGGTTCAATGGGGACGTCCAGTGATTGTCTTTGGTAGGCCGCGTTTCCTGCTCGTTTCTGGCGAATCATCGAACAGCCCTGCTCGCCTCAACCCCATGCTGAACTAGCTGAAGTTCTAGTAGTTGATTCCCCATTCGTTTCAACCATTGTTATGTTCAAAAACCAGCTGCTTTCCCGGCAAAGAATGGGGAAGCTACCCTTAGAGAAGTGCCAAGAGGTTTCTGGGTCTTCCGCCGAGTTAGTAAGTGATAACGGTATCCTATAGGTTGTAACCCATTTATTGGGGGTAACCTAGTTGTTAGAGGTTCGGAAACAGGAGGCTAACCACCTGGCATCGTGGCAGAACATCCAACTTCCCTCCCTCCCAACAATTATAGAAGCTGACACAACAGCTTTGAAAGATTACCTGGACCCTCAATCACCCTTCGTTTTTGGGGTGGTGCTGTGTTGCATTCATTTTTGGTGTGTTTTGTCATTTTTTGGGGGTGTTAGTTCCATGTTTGGGTGTTTTCGTTTTTCCATGCGCTGCTTTGTCGACCCTGCAATTTCGCTAGCGGTGTGTTTAACTTGATTGAATTAACAACGTTGTTGTTCACTGCACAGGGCTTGCTTGAAAGATACAAGTGCCAAGTCAAGAAGCGGCGCGGACCTTGCTGTCGCCCAATGTCAAACCTCCAGCTCAGCTGCGCAATGCCTTTGATGTTGGCATGGAAGAAATCATCAAAGATAATTTGACCTTGGCCCAAACGGCTTGAATGCCAACACAACACAAGGGAAAACAAAAGCCGCGTTATTAGCCTTTCATTTTTGTGTGAGAAAAGCATTTGTGAGTTGCACAAGTTAAGAAGGCTGCTCCGTTGCGTGCTGCCTAGTGTTGGAGCCGATCACTGAGCCGCAAGGCATCCAAACCAGGTTTCCTTTGGAAGCGAGCAGGTGGCTTGGTGCACCACAACTCAAACTGATGTTTAGGAGGGCGCTGCGACAATGCAAAGAACCAACATCCCTTAAAACAGGAGTTAGACATTTCGAGTTGTTTCTTCTAGTGTGTGCGGTGTGCGTTGCGCGGCACACATCACAAACGGTCTTTCATGGCAACACCCGGTCTTCTAATGGCTTGAAACAGTGTGCCATGCGCAGTTCACCGCATGTTCATGTAATGTCACTCTACTTTCACGATAGTAGAGTCCAAGAAGGTATAAGTTCAATGAACAAATATTGTCGCAACAAATTGAGAAGGATAGCTTTGACAGATTTTGTAGCAGCGCGATGGGAGTGATTCCGCATTTGTCCACAGCTCTGTGCCCTTGGGCCATGTGCCCAAAGTTGTTTCAATCTACAAACAACACAAGAAGCATCTCAATTAAGCATGATGTACAATACTTTGCAAATTCGGGTATGTTCTGTTTCACCATGCCTCCTAGATGATCAAGTTCACATGTTGCTTCAACGGTGGTTCTCTGGCTAATGCGACTCAGCGCAACATGTACCAGTTGCCCTTAAAGTTGATGTCCTGAAGCAAGCATACAGCCAAAGGGTCCAGTCTTTATATGATAGCAGGCAAGCTTGCAACACCTGCTATTCTGCGAACAGTAGCTGTCACTAGCAATTGAATGGTCGTTCCGTAAGCTCAGTATTCTGCGAACAATAGCTGCCACTGGCAATTCAATGGTCGTTCCGTAACGTCCACCTAGGATTAAACATTGCACCTGGAATAAAGACAAACGGGTGGCCCCCCCAAAAATGAGCCTGGAATAAAGACAAGCACCCGCCACCCCCGCCCAAATTTTCTGAACGAAAAGTATAAGAAACATGACAAAGTGGAACAAAAAGAGAAAGAAGAGGAGAGATAGCCAAGCCAACACCTGGTCCTTAGATCTTTGGTACCTTGTTCTTCAGCTCCCAAAAAATCAAACTGTCCAGCTGCCCAAGAAGTCATGGTTTGTTACATGTCTCTTGTTTAGAAACTGCCCGCAATCAAACCTGCAAAGGGGGTGGGTAGTACTTCAGGCCCCCAAACTTGAGCCCAAGACTTTATTTCAGGACAACAAAGTCTTGTTGTCTGGCCCCCTGCAAATATACAACTAGCCCAGCGTAACTACCTATGAAGCTTCGGGCTTTGTTGTTAGATTTGGGCCTGCTTCCCAAAATCAAACATGTCCAGCTTCCGCAAGCTCTTGTTTTCTTGCATGTCTCTTGTTTAAAAACTGCCTACAACCAAACTCACAAACAACCCTAGTACTTCACCCCCCAATTTGACATTATTTCAGCGGCCCCTGAAATAAAGTCTTGTTGCCTGCCCGCGGCTGCCCGCGTCCAAAAGAATATCAAGAGGAAGCTCCAGCAATACAAAATCAAATGGAAACTAAGTTCCAGATCTCAAAAGGAAGCTCCAGCAATGCAAAAACAAATGGCAACTCCGTTCCAAATCGCGAAAAGCTCCAGCAATACTAAATCACATGGAAACTCAGTTCCAGATCTCAAAAGGAAGCTCCAATGCTAAATCAAATGGAAACTCCATTCCAAATCTCAAAAGGAAGCTCCAGCAATACTAAATCTTATGGAAACTCAGTTCCAGATCTCAAAAGGAAGCTCCAGCAATGCTAAGTCGAATGGAACCAATTTCCAAATCTCAAAGGAAGCTCCAGCAATACTAAATCAAATGGAAACTCAGTTCCAGATCTCAAAAGGAAGCTAATCAAATCGAAACTCCATTCCAGATCTCAAAAGGAAGCTCTAGCAATACAAAATTAAATGGAAACTTAAGCCTACCAATACTAAAGCAAATGGAAGCAAAATTGAACTGGGTCTCAAGAGATTATTCTAGGCACCCCCTTTGTTGGGGGGGAGAGGGCCCCCCCTTTACTACTCCCAGGCGGACATTACTCCGAACAAAGACCATTTAAAGGGCATTACTCCGAACATAGTCCGGATAGGTGGACAGGGTCCGCCGGACCGGTTGGACGGCCCGGACGGGTCCGGACGGTTCTGGATAGGTGCGGACGAGCCCGGACTATCAAAAAAATGTGTTTTTTCAAAAAAAAGAAGGTGTTTTTGGTTCGGACTAGTCCGGGACGGACGCTTAAATACGCCTTTTGGACGCCTAAATACGCCTTTTCGGACGCCCCGCTGGACGCCCAAAACAAAAAATGTGTTTTGGATAGAACAAGGTTTTATTGTATGTTTTTCTCGTCCGGACGCGTCCGGACGCGTCCGCCCGCCCGGACCCGGTCCACCTATCCGAACTATGTTCGGAGCAATGTCCTGTAAATGGTCTTTGTTCGGAGTAATGTCCACCTGGGATTAGTAAAGGGGGGGCCCTCCCCCACCCCAACAAAGGGGTGCCTAGAACAATCTCGTGAGATCCCGTTCAATGTTGCTTCCATTTGCTTTAGTATTGGTAATTAGACTTGAAATTCCATTTGATTTAGTATTGCTGGAGCTTCCGGTTGAGATTTGTATTTGAGTTTCTGATTGATTTAGAGATTTGGAATTGAGTTTCCATTTGACTTAGTATTGCTGGAGCTTCCTTTTGAGATTTGGAATGGAGTTTCCATATGATTTAGAGATTTGGAATTGAGTTTCCATTTGAGATAGTATTGCTGGAGCTTCCTTTTGAGATTTGGAATTGAGTTTCCATTTGATTTAGCATTCCTGGAGCGTCCATTTGAGATTTGCAAATTGAGTTTCCCATTGATTTAGCCTTGCTGGAGCTTCCTTTTGAGATCTGGAATTGAGTTTCCATTTGATTTAGCATTGGAGCTTCCTTTTGAGATTTGGAATTGAGTTGCTATTTGATTTTGCATTGCTGGAGCTTCCTTTTGAGATCTGGAACTTAGTTTCCATTTGATTTTGTATTGCTGGAGCTTCCTTTTGATACCTTTTTGGACGCGGGCAGCCGCGGGCAGGCAACAAGACTTTATTTCAGAGGCCGTTGGAATAATGTCAAATTGGGGGGTGAAGTTTCAGAAGTACTAGGTTGTTTGTGGGTTTGGTTGTAGGCAGTTTTTATACAAGAGACATGCAAGAAAACAAGAGCTTGGGGAAGCTGGACAGTATTGATTTTGGGAAGCAGGCCCAAATCTAACAACAAAGCCCGAAGCTTCATAGGTAGTTACACTGGGCTAGTTGTATATTTGCAGGGGGCCAGACAACAAGACTTTATTGTAGGAGCCCCTGAAATAAAGTCTTGGGCTCAAGTTTGGGGGCCTGAAGTACTACCCACCCCCTTTGCAGGTTTGATTGCGGGCAGTTTTTAAACAAGAGACATGTAACAAACCATGACTTCTTGGGCAGCTGGACAGTTTGATTTTTGGGGAGCTGAAGAACAAGGTACCAAAGATCTAAGGACCAGGTGTTGGCTTGGCTACCTCTCCTCTTCTTTCTCTGTTTGTTCCATTTTGTCATGTTCCTTTACTTTTCGTTCAGAAAATTTGGGCGGGGGTGGCGGGTGCTTGTCTTTATTCCAGGTGCATTTTTTGGGGAGCCACCCATTTGTCTTTATTCCAGTTCCAGGTGCAATGCTTAATCCTAGGTGGACGTTACGGAACGACCATTCAATTGCTAGTGACAGCTATTGT